CTCTCTCACACACACACACACACACACACACACACACACAGAGCACACAAACACACAGAACCATCCCTACACAAAAAAGAGAGAAACACACACGCCGACCTTTGATTTGACTGAGGAAAAGAGGAACGTGGAAAGCGAAAAGTTTTTTTTTTTCAACTTCTGAAAAATGAAATTTGACGCAGCTTGCTTGCAGACATGAGCAAAAAGTGGCAATCAGCTCACAAACACCGGCGCACCGCAACTCGTTAAAAGTTTTTTTTTTCAACTTATGAAAAATGAAATTCGACTATAACACAGTTATGACGCACAGAAAATAAACAGAAAAAGAAAAAAAAAAACCAATCCAAACATGTCCCCTAACACACAGGAACGAGCAGAATGCTCATCCAACCCTGTTCTCCTCCTTCGTCCTCCTCCTCCCCTCGCCCTCCTTCCTTCCTCCTCCTCTCCTCCTCTCCCCTCGCTCTCCTTCCTTCCTCCTCCCTTCTCCTTCCTCCTTTCGCCTCCCGTCTTGTGCCACACGGCACAACAGCACGCGGTTTTTTTGTAATTGTTGTCGTCCTCCTCCTCCCCCTCCTCCTCCCTCCTCCTCCCTCCCTCCTCCTCCTCCCTCGTTTCTCTCATCCCCCTCCTTTCTCCTCGTCTCCAGTCATCTTTTGAAAAACAGACGCAGCCGACCGACGTGCCACGTGGCTCGGTCGGTGTACCGATGAACTGTTCAAAATTGTGAAATGCAGACTTCAGCTCGAATGCAGGTAGGAGCAACTGGATGAAATTCTGAATTACCAAGGACGTCACCCTTTACCAAAAAAAAAAGGAAAAAAAAAAGGGGTACAGACTCAAGTTCGAATCCAGATTACCAAAGAAAAAAAAAAAAGGAACACACCAAGGGCATGCACGATTCGCCTCCCTCCCTCCCTCCCTCCCTCCTTCCCTCGGTCCCCCCCTCCTCCTCTCTCTCCTTCTCCCCTCTCCTCCCTCATCCTTCGTCCTCCTTCCTCCTCTGCGGCACGCCATCTTTTTTTTTTTTTTCGTTTTTCCGGTATTGTTATGATTTATTTTATGTCAGGATTGGGTAATTTACCCGCCTGCTGCCTCCCTTGGATGTCGAATCGTCGCGTGACCAAGGCCTTCGAGCCGGCGGCGATGTCCCATTCGAATTTCTGCCCGGTCAACTTTCGATCGACGGTAGGATGGACTCCGATGGAGGCCTACCTACCATGCCACGTGGGAAAAAATGCATGCCGATGTGCCACGTGGCCTCCGGTGGAAACGGGTAACGGAGAATAAGGGAAGGGGATCTTTTGTTTTCAACTTGTGATTCTTCTCGTCCTCCCCCTCCTCCCCCTCCTCCTCCTCCTCCTCCCTCCGCCTCCTTCCGCCTCCTTCCTCCTCTCTCCTCTCCTCCTGTCCTGACGCGCCAGTTTTTTTATTGTCCCCATCACCCACCTCCTCGTCCTCTCTTCTCCTCGCCTCCCCTCGTCGTCCTCCCTCCTCCTCGCCCGCCTTCCCCTCCCTCCTTTCCCCTCGCGTAATGTGCCACGTGGCACATCGGCATGCATTTTTCCCCATCCGTCAAACTTAGATCGATACAGAGAAGATTAGAATGGTCCCCTCTGAAATGACACGCATGAATCATAGTTTTCGTCTTCATCCTCCCGCGGCCCCCCACAGTCTGTCTGTCTCACGTGCGTGCGTGCGCATACGCGTTGGTTCGATCAAATGTGGCATCGATGGAAAGTTCTTCCTTTTACCAACTTCCTCCTCATCAGCCTCTCTCTCTCTCTCTCTCTCTCTCTCTCTCTCTCTCTCTCTCTCTCTCTCTCTCTCTGTGTGTGTGTCTGTGTGTGTGTGTGTGTGTGTGTGTCGAGCGCGGGCGCGCTCGTGCGTGCGCACGCACACACGACGTGGCAACCATCGAAGTTAACATACAAATTTTAAAAAGCAGAAATGAACAAAAAAAGAAGCCCAATCCTCGGCGTCTTCTACCTTCACGCTGCAGATCCCAACCGCAGTTGAAAATGTACGCGCGTACGTTTGTGATCCGTGGTGTGTGTGACGAGTGTGGGTGTAATTGCGTCGCGGGTCGACAGCCTAAGTACGCAGTAGCGAGTCCTCTCTCTCTCTCTCTCTCTCTCTCTCACCCCTCCTCCCACACACAATCACGTCCGAGTAGCCGCTCCCAGTCGTTAGTCCACCGTAGCACACAAAGCAGTAGCGAGTCGAGAGTCAAGCGTCCCCCTCACGTCCGCGTATAGAGTTTCAAAGTCGAAGTCGAGCATAGTTTGGGCCTCGTTCCACACCACTACACACACACACACACACACAAAAAAAAAAAAAAAAAAAAAAAAAAAAAAAAAAAAAAAAAAA